ACTAAGCCCTGAACCCCGAAACCACAGCCCAAAGCGCTCGAACCGGAAGAACCTTAAACCCTGAGCTCATCAGGCACAGCTACCTTCACCCTCTACCCCAAAACCCGTAAACCAGGAACCCTACGGCCCAAATGCTAGAATTCCTAAACGCCCATAGTACCTTTGTTGGTAACCCTAGTAGGTCCTTCAAGGAAACTTTACAGAAAGCGTTAAAAGTCAAAAGAGAATTCGTTCTCTGGTCGCGGCTCCCTTACGACTGAGCCCAGGGCACCCTAACGCAGAAACTCCTTTGGAGGCCATTATTATACCTTTAGTAACTGTAGTTCCTTTTCTTGGTTGAACCAGCTGATATTTAGGGTTGTTTATCAGAAGGCCAAAAATCAAACGTAACCACTATGCAGACTATGGGGAAATGCGGGGTTCTACGATAAATGAGCTTTTGGGTCGATGTTAGTGCCTTGCTGGAGCTAGAGTGTGTTTGGTGTCACAAGTATAACTACGCACTGCCCGTTGATCAACAAACATTCCTGGTTGCAGCAGACAGCAGTTTTGCAACAGTTTCCTGTCACACTGAGCCGCCAAACAAGAGCAGCGTTGGAGCAACTTGATTCGGCAAGGTATGCTTTCGAGAAGCCCAAAGGTGGTGAGAAGCTGGCCGCGCAGGCAGATCTGCCCCTTGATGCTATTGGTTTGGGGTTTCGAGTTTGCGTTTGGGGCATGTCAGCAACCGTAGTACGACCAGTGAATAATGGATTATGATTCCGAAACCCGAAAGGCCTAAAACCGTAAGCCTTGAACGTGTAGACCCTAACATCAGCAACCCTAGGCCAAACGGCATTGATATATAGTAGGAACTGCCTGAGCAGAATGAGCCCCATGCTTCAACAGCCGGTAGTAGTATATCCGTGGAAATCCCTGTGAGGTCGAGTGTATGTAAAATTGTTACGCTTTCGGTGAATGTACAGATGGCTTGAGGAATATTCCAAGGCATCGAAGAAGGTCGAATCTTCGTAGGTTGCAAAAAATCTCTCCTGTAGTCTCCATTGTAGTTCCTTTTTTGGTCTAACCATTTTTATATTAAGGATCCTATAAGGTAACCCCAAAAAGGAACTACAATGGAGACTATAGGTAAGATGTAATTTGGGTTGAGCCGTGCGGCGCAAAAAGACTTCTGAACCCAGGTGCCCTGGGCAGCCCCAGATTTGTGCCAGCCTTTGTTAAACTTTGTGCCTCAAGGTTTGCAGCAAACGACTGGTTCAGGGCCCACGACCTTGGGCTCAACTGGTAATGAATAGTTATAAACCAACTAGGGAAACCTCGAGCCCGTTTTAATGTACCTGCAGGGTTTAGGGCCTTCAGGCTTCGGAGTAGCCTCAGAGAGCGCCTTCTAAAACACCAAGGGCGGAGAGACGTCAGATCTCACGATACGTGCGAGACCTGCAACTTGTCTGCGATGCAGATTTCTTGTTTGTGTTTTTTTTGTAAGGCGGGAGGGTTGGGATTGGGGTCGCTAGTCGTCCAGCTGAAACAAGTGACCGGGACGAAGCACGATTCGATTTGTGGGTGCTGGCTGTACAGTAGCTGCTGTGTGTGTGTGTGTACCTGTAAGTCAAAGTTCGAGAATGAAGGCAAAAGAAAATGTGTGTGCAATGCTTAGTTCCAGATTACAATATTGTGTTTGTCACCTGACAAAGATGCATAGAACTTTTGACATGCATGTGCACATGGCTGTTAGATCAACCCAAACCCCAAGCCCCGCGCCGTGGATCAATCCGGACCGTCATACGCCAGGATTGGGATGTCCCTGCAAAGCCTCACGTCCTAAACTCCGCAGTTTGGAACCCAGACCCTACAGCTCCAAGTCCTACATCTTCAATGCCTAAACCCGAAAGCCCGCATGGTTCTAAATCCGTCAGACCCCGAGACCCCCGAACCTTAAGGAGCTGGAAATCGTTCATGAAAGGGCCTGGATGCGTACCAATACTGCTCCTCAGGGCTATAAGTATACAATGCCATACCCCAAAACCCTACTCTCATCATTACCCCTAGCCCTCCAGGTACCTACTATATAGGGCACTGGGGGCTCTAGTACCCTATATAGTAGGTGCCTGGGGGGTTAGGTTACAGTATCTAATTAAGGATCTGCTACTACGGCCAAGGAAGGATGAGGATCCGGATCGCTATCGGAAAACCAACTCGAGCTCTGCGAAGGGCTTGACGAGGGACAGCGGATGAGGATGTGCCAAGTCTGAGGTCCCTGCATCGGTTTAGGGTTTTCGGTATCCTCTAGGGTCTCTATATGTTTCGACTATACTTTTCGGTATCCTCTATGGTCTCTATATGTTTCGACTACACCGGGGCATGCCTCGCCTCAAAATCCCGCCTGATTTGCTGAAGCATCTTGAACGCGAAGGATGCTGGATTGAAGCCCTAGACCCCAAACCCTAAATCGTTTGTGACTCGCCACTTCCTCACAGCCCTGTTCTTGAGGTGATAATGCTTGCATGCAGGGGCCTGAATAATTGAGATGGGTTCCCTTAAGGGTTCTAGTAGGATAAGGGGCATTTTTTACTTTGAGTACAGAACGGAGCCCCAAATAACTAGTATTGCTAATTGTAATTTTTCAGGCCCCTACCTACAGTAGGCTTTAGGCTTGTAGTGTCAGAGTGGCTCACCCAAATGGGTTGCGCATCTGACAAGGTTCCGAGTACCGCACCGAGTGTTGCATCGCAGACGGCACGTCGCGCTAAGGTTCAAGGGTCAGGGTTTCATATAGGGGCCTAAATAATTACCCATTCTAATTTGAGGGTTCCTTATTATAGTTACAGCATATACTTAACATACCCCCAAACCGTATTCTAATTATTAAGACCCCTAGCTATAGCATAATTAACATACCCCCAAACCGTATTCTAATTGTTAAGACCCCTACATTAGCGTTTACGGTGTTGCAGGCAAGCACTGTCGGCTTTTCAGCTGCCGACATTTCGCTTTTGTACATGTCGCTATAGCTTAGCTAAAGTTGCGCACCGTGTTGCATGATTATAATATTGATGCTGTTCTTCGCCAGCTTACACACTACACAGAAAAGTGAACATGCATCGGAAATTACGAAAATGAAAGTATGTCGATTTGCATGTAAACAAACCAGTAAGTATTGTTGTTTGTATACATGTATACATACATATACAGATGCATCTAGCGTACATGCCCCATGTGCTTTGAGCTTGCGCCGCACACATAGAAAAGCTACACCTCTGCACTTCCAAGGTTAGAAGTATGGGCCCCTAACATGGGCCCTTAGGGGGGTTCTAGGGTCCCTTAAGGGTACATATAGGGTATATAGTAGGTATATTAGGGTCCCAGGGTTAAGGGCCCATACTAGGGGCCCATGGGTTCTACCTTAGAGCACTGGCACACGTGCTGTTTCCGGAACCGGCTTCTTCCGACAGTGCACGCAAGCGGTCCTGCTTCTCTGAGGCTGCAGCATGCGCAGGGCCTGTACCCCGTAGTCCTGAAGCCAGGAGGGTATAGGCTTTAGACTTGTTTTGATATGTCGAGGTTTGGGGTTAGTTTAGAAGTTCGGAAGCATCGAGTTTGGCCGGGCCATGGGCGTAAACTCGGGACTTTTGCCACCCTGTTCTCCGTGAGTCTAGCCTTCGGCTTCACCATGTCAGGCTTTCAGGATTGCATAGCTCGGAGAAGCCACGGTCGTATGTTTGATACTAGTATCTAAGCAAGGAGTATATAAAGCCCTGAATAGTAACACTATTCCTCTGGGTTTGGCGTCTAGGGGTTCTGGGTGTAGGCACATTTTCCCTTGTATTAGGTTTCTCTTTGTATTCATTCCATATGACTTTTACTTAGCAGATTATACCCCCCAAACCTATTCTAAGTATTGAGGCCCTTGTATGGACACTCAATCCTGTACAGCAACCCCTGAAGCCCTGCTGGGGCTTCAGGGAAAAGGCTTAAGATGCATACTCGTCTGTTTCATAGGTAGTGCCCAAGAGAAAACTGCACGACAGCCTGCGTGCGTGAGTCGATGTTCATGTATGCATACAGATGTGTTGTGTACATCTATATGTATATATACAAAGGTATGTTGTAAGTTTCTTTTGCATGTACGTGTACACATCCGTATGCATGTATGTGCATGTATATATATATATATATGTACATGTGTATGTATGGGTATATTTATGTGTATAGACTGTAGATGTATATTTTCCGTTCACTACCCTCACCGCTGCAGCCTTTCGGGTCTTGAGGCCCGCTTGCTGGAGGGGCGCTGAAAGGGGAAAGGCGAGGATCCCTGGAAAACACAGAATCCTCTGGAGACTTCTAGGCTTCAGGGGTCTGGGTCCTTTTTGGACCTGACCTTCCGTCACTTTTGCTCGGCACGGTCAGCTTGACTAGGCATAGCCATAGTCTTGTAGATCCTGTCCAGACACGCCATGAGCTGCATAACTGCAGCACATCATCGCCATCGCTCTCGTGGGCACCAACCCCCCCCCCCCCCCCCCC